ACCAAACTAGTGCAGTAATAAATGCACAAATGCTCAGCAGCCTGCATGGGCCAACAACATTTTTGCCAAAGAGAAATATAGAGGTATATAGAGTTACTTCATACAAGGTTGAGGAAATTTCATGATGTGTATCTGCACATTTCCAGGGTTTTCCCTGCCAGAGAAAGGCTTAGGCGCAGCACCTAAGTGTTGTTGCAGAGCACCTCAGGCCAACATATCAGAATTAATCTACACTAGAAACAACATGAATAATTCTATGACCTTTCTTTCACAAATATTTTAAGGATAATGGGCAAAAAAGAAAAGAAAAACACCTAAAGCAACTCTAAATTTCTTCCCGGCAATTTCAAACTCCCCAGTCACCACCCCCTTTCCGAACTACACCTAAGCTCTCTGAAAACCTACGGGAAACCCTGTACAGCTGCTGCTTTACTGGTTCAATAAATACTATGATCCTTCAGTTTCTCAGCAGGTCAGCAGAGACAGTGGATCAATAGTACCTTGTCTGAAAAATATTTTATGCTTTACAATTGTCACATGAAACTGTAAACAATAAAGCACATTTAGCTTTTATTACAGTCTTTAGGATGGGTTGCTGGAGTTATTTGATCAAACTGACCCTGCAGTCTAAATCATACAGGAGCCGTGTATTTCGGATAAGGTGCATTAATTATTCACACAGTCTTCCCAATCCCACCATGGCATAATAACAACAATTTGTCTGTTTGGAATGAATCATTTATAAAGGAACAAGTATCTATGGTTTGGAGAAGATGAGTCTTTTCTTCCCACCACACAAGTCATTTTTCATTCTACTATTTACTTTTGATTCATTATTTACCACATTAGGTAAGCAACATGTAGTATACTGTTAGACAGGGGGAATTTATTACTGTGAGGCACTGGCATAAAGAGAAAGGCTTGTCTTTTGGATGTTCGACCATATGATAGTAAGTTGTGAGGTCAAACTACTGTGCTGAAGCTGGTGGCTAGTTGTGTGTCAGTGAAGGAGATAAATTGATTTACCAGCAAAGAGAATAATGTTCATAATGAAACAATAAAATTGTTGACAGGTTTCCATTCTGTCTATAAATTCACAATTCATTTACATGCTGTAAATCAGGCAAATAGAGCACTATTCATTCACAAAGCCACTGATTCCCCCATTGGACATGTTTAATCAAACTCAATGGAACGATTTGTTTTCCCTTTGAATCACAAATGTTACAATTATCATATGAATAAGAGCTAGCAATAACCAATCAGAACCATCTGTAAATGCACCAAGCATTTAGCCATTCAATCACAAAAACGCTCTGTAATGACTAAAAACCACCAATGAAAAAAATGCTGTATTATAATTCTCTCATTTTCCCTCTCAGTCTCCCTCTGTATCTCTTTTACTGCTCACCCTCTTTCACACCCTCCCTGCCCTCTCTCTCTCCCCATGAGGCACAGTGTGATTATAGTGAATGATTATGTGGGAGGGCCTCTGCAAACAGCTGGTTAATTCTAAAGAGTTACAGAATGAGCTTGCATCCTCACCTCAGATGAAAGGCTGCCAGCGTCCAAGCAGACCTCACTGCGGCATCTGAGCCCTACAAGAGGACGAGTGAAAAATCTGGCCTCACAGGGCCCCACTGTTGGACTTCTAGTAACGTGACATCCAAGGCCAAAGCAAAGATTGACCTGTTAGGTATTTTTAGTCAGATAGCTATTGGTTAGGTACTTGTTGTATTAGAAATGTTTTTAGTGTAGACAGGATGTCTAGCTGAGGCTGTTAAATGCTTACTCATTTCCGTGAGTTACTCCAGGTTGTTTATGTTCAAGGATAACTAGATAGAAAGTGGCTACTGTATGATATGTTCAGCTGTAATCTTAATCATAATATCTTCCTAGGCTTAATGTCCGGACATGTCCCTGAATGTCCTGTATGTTCTTAGCTACACACCACTTAATCAACACTCACACACATTGATTCTCTTCATGTTTTGACTACTGCTACGGTCAGCTGTAAAGCTGGCATATCAGGTGACGCCACGGTTTGACGTGCCTGTGTAGAATGGGGTTAGCCCAAACCAGATATAATGTACAGGCCTGTTGGGTTCAGGGTCTTTCATTCTTCATCTGCCTGCGCGCAGTATTGGAGGTGGAAGATACCTGAGCGTGTGCTGTAATTTTACCTGTGATCCTTTGAATACACCAGCATGATTTTTAAGATACTTGGACCATCTCGTCTCTCTGAGTTCCTGGTATAGAAGAACCGGAGGAAAGGGAACTAAAATATATTCCTTTCAGACCGAAGAAATCAAACTGTGTTAATAGAGTGCACCAAGGCTAAAGTATATATATGTTACTTTAACCTTTACTGTACTGTGTGTGTCCTTAGACTTTTCAAACAGAGGTATTGTTTGAAAATGTTTGGTACTGATGTTAAAACAACCTTTTCCAGTCACTTAGTTTGAAAGAGATAGATAGGGTTTTCTACAAAACTGTTTCTTGGCCCACAGTCTGTAGTTACTTTGAGGAGGTATCTGCACCCAGCCAAGAAATAGTCTGGCACATAACCCCATTTTTTTTTTAACATGTTAATTCCTGAGGCAAATGTTGATATTTTTGAACAAAGCCAGGCTAGCTGTTTCTGTCCCAGCTTCAGGCAGGGTGACAGTAGCTACCCATCCAGAGTAGTAAGCTACGGTGGGTCCTGGATGTGTAAGGAGAAGCAGATGGTTTCATAATAACCCTCCATCGTGGGATGAGCTGTGCTCCATCTGTCTGCTGCTCCTCCAGTGAGTGACACCGATGACTGAGGCTCAGTGTTTACACATAAAGGAGCACAGTGCTCCGGCCCTCCTGTTGCTGCTGCACCGTATAGCTTCTGGTGGACTAAAAATAGCATTGAGACAGCCCTGTATTTTTCAGACTAATTACAAGAATAGCACTGACACTATGCTATATCATTATAGTGATGGATCACCAGTGCTCATGCCTCTGTGGTCTAATTGGCAAACACAAAACAGTTATTTAATCCAGAAAATGTGAAGAAGGCTGTGAAATATTAAAGTTTAATACCACATCCTAAGGATGGTGTTAAAATGGAGTCACTGGTTGACAGCCTGTTCAATTTTGTGTAATGAAAACCCCATAATGCATTCATCCTTGAGGCTCCTAGACCTTCTGTGCCTCAGTGGATGGAGTCCAGACAATAGAGCCCCGTTCTAAAGATATTCATCCCTGAGGACATAGAAAAAGGAGCAGATAGAGAAAACAAACCAAATGCTGCAGTGCAAAGAAAGGAGTATGTATGTGTAACCCTTTCCTGTCTGTTGCAGCCCCTAATGAGGAGTCAGGGGAGGGCCTGTGAGTGTGTGATCCTGTATGTCTGTGCACATACAGCCAGAGTCCGCTTTTACACACAGGAGGGAGAAAAAGTGTGAACTATTTCGACAATAGCAAATAATCTCTGCCAAACCTTTATGATTAAAGGGATGTGCCAAGTCTACGGATGAACATAGACAAGTATATTTATAGACAGTAAGATAGAGCTAGCTAGCTCAAAGAGCAAAGCATAGAGGTAAATGTACATGGTAGAAGCTGGATTTGTAACTTCAAACCGTGCAGACATACAGCATGGCCCCAGGCACGAGTTACATCCATCAACCTCTTTTTAAAGATTAATTTATGTTCTGATTAAAGGAGATTCTTATTAAATGATCTGCATTATCTAATATTGTAATAAGGACAGTGACACTTGGACTACCCTTAATTAATTGTTAATCAATTGATAATTGTTAATCATCATCATACAGCTGGAAATTAATGGATGGATAAAATGATAAAGAGAATAAGTAAGAACAAGGTTTTAACCCAATTATTCTTCAGAAAGGAACAAGATGAGAAAAGTACCATGTTTGTAGAGGACAGCTTTGTGTCTTGGTCACAAAGTGATTTAAATATCAACCAAAACGCAGCTTGCTGAACCTCAATCTCTTCTGCTACAGTGCTTTGATAAGTTAGGGGGAAGCAGGAATCAGGGCATTAGTCAACTCAAAATTCTTGACATAGACATACACACAGACACACACACACAGACTCAGGCACACACACACAGCTGAGTCCAGCCCAGATGGTCGATCTAGATGAGCAAGTCAGGGATTTCAGTACCACAGACAGAGACATGCAGACTGCTGTGAGAGGCCATACAATTGTCAGCACCATGTGTGTGTGCACGTGTGTGTGTGCATATGAGAGAGTTGGATCAGACGGATGCATGCATGGCCTCATTTGTTTACTGTAGTCATTCACTTGTTTGACGATCATTTGGAAATCAGGCCACAGCAGGAGTGTCTGAGACCAAGGCCAAGCCAAATAATCCATTTGTAGGAAAAAATGAACACACAAAAAGGAAAGGAAATATTACTGTCTCTATCAAGAGAAGAATGTGCTAAAACTGCATTGTGTTAAGGCGATACTAATATTTACTTGTTTGTATTATTGGTAATTTCAGTTTTACTGTTGCACTTGGTCTG